GTGACACACATGCATAGGTCATAAATCTGTTGGCGGGAGCTAGAAAATGTGAGCTGAGCTGGCTGTAGGCACAAGCAGAGTTTTATTGTTCAAGATTTATTTTTATTTATGTATTTATTTATTTTTCAGCTTGCACAGTATTTTTCTCAGTGGTCAAGAGACTGAAAATCCGACCTTATTTAGGGTGAGCTTTTGGATGACTGGGAGTGTGTCTCTGCACCATCACTGAGACTTGGAGCGTTAATAAGAGATGTTTCAGATGAGGTTAAAAAGAAGCGTGGGGTCAGTAAAAGTTTCAGTTTGTAATATTATTGTACTGAGAGAATGTTAAGAGTTCATACAGAGAAGGAAGCTGATTCCTTCCCTCATTTTTTCCACCACCCTGAAGGTTAATTTATGTGTCAGCTGTTGATGTAGGGTAATTAGAGGAAAGGCAGAAAATCCATGGAGAATCTGCCAGCATTTGTTCCAAAGATTAGTTGTCTACAGTACCCGCAGAAGAATGAACATCCAGTTGGTTCTTCCCAAACGGATTGACAAATTCTTGTGTAGCAAAGGCAACAGGTGGGTAAAGCAGCGTGGCAGCATCTTCTTTGGTCTTCAACCCGGAGCCTTGCCTAGAGGACACGCAAACAAATGGGCAGAGAAGGGAGAAAAGGTCTGCTCATGCTGGCTTAGCCAGGTCCCAGGTTAGCACTGGTGCCTCCTGCCTCTGGAAGCAGAGGGCCTTGCATCCATCCCAGGAGTTACTCAGGGTCCTGGAACACTCATGGGGTCTCTGAGGGCAGCGTGTACATTAAGGTATGTGTTAAGGTGTGCTTCTGGCCTGGGGCTGGGACCACAGATATCTGCACTCCTCTGCTCTGCTGCTCTGAGTCCTTGTGGGTTGAGCCATGCAGAACCACGACCCAGCAATTAGCAGGCTCACCTCTGCTCCACGTGGCACGTTATTTGCTTCACAGGTACAGCCTGCTGTGCGAGCCTTAGTCTTAGCCCAGCGGGAGGATGTCCTCCCTGCCTCTTACTGAAATCACATCTTAATTTGAGCTCATTTCTTTTGTTGAAATGCAAAGCTAATTATATTTAACTCCAGACGAACACGAAGCTGCATTAACAGAGTTTTTCGAATCAAAGCAGAGTTATTCAGCGTTTCTGGGGGGCTAGGGAACTTTGTAACCAGATAAAAGATATGGGGGAGGGCAGACCTATAAAAAGTGTTATTGTGTGATTATGAAGAGGCCTTTTAATGCAGTTTTTATGTGTTGCTAAAAAGGCCTTTATTGCTTGAAGTTGGAAGCAGAATACAAATGGGCTTACAGTGTCTATTAAATGAAGAGTGGAGAAAAAAATAGTCTCTGTTTCTCTTAACTGCAAAGTAAAAATAATAATTAGTGATTACAATCCATGTCAGTGCTGGATTCGTGAGCCTGATCATGTACTAAGCAGTAAAGTAGCAGGTAGGGAACAATTGTTTGTGTCATTTAAGACATGGTTCATTGTTATGATGAACCCGTTCATCCAGGTTATGATGTCAGCAAATTGTTTCGGCCTGCCTTTATCAGTAGAACAATTAGGTTTGAATTCTCCCTGGAGTAAAATGAAGAGTATGGATGAGCTTGACATGAATAATTCAGGGGAATGTTGCTTCTGAGATAATACCTCATTTCCAGATCTGTTTTTCAGTTTCCTTGACTGAAAGCTTCTGGACACACAGCTGTCCCCTTCCTTAATCACTTTTAACAAAGTTGATTTTGCAAAACTGCTTCGACAAAAAAGCATGCTCCACCCAGTGCAAGCAAGGAGGCCAGATGTACGCTTCACCATTCAAAAAAAGTGATAAAAATCCAAAATATCTTACTGTATTTGAAATCTGATTAGTTTGGCTGGGATGTAACGAACCCCATCCTGGCTGTCACTGATTTTACTAGGTAGCCACAATCCTACTGAAAACCTAAGCTTTACAGTACTGGCTTCAGCCGGGGCTCCAAGGCAGGGGTGCAGGATGAGGTGGCGAGGCCAGCACCAGAGCCCGCCGCAGCAGAAAGCTCTTCCCTTGCGAGGTGTCCCAATGTCATAGCTGTTCCTTGGCAGCACAGATGGATTTATGGTGCTTGTCTCTGCCTCGTCCTTGCTGTTCCCATCACCAAAGCTGCAAGCTGGCACTTCATTTGAGTCATGTGGGGAGGTTCTCAGAATGTCCTTGCGCCGACAGGGCAGTGTGTGTGTGCACGCGGAACCTGCTTCTGTTCAGTGCTGACATCTTACAAGAACGGGTGCTGACGTTTGGGAAACCGAAACACATTGACAACGATGAAGGTCTTTTCAGAAGTGTCTGTGATGTGTTTTGTTTGCTCAGTGCAGGAATAGAGCAGCTGGTGGTGGCTGAGAAGAGAAAGGTAGGTAGGTAATTGCAGGCTCCGGATGTTATGGGGTTATTTGTAAGGCTGAAGTGTGCCAGAACAAGGACAAGTAACACAGAACCAGGCCGGCCAAGTGCTGCTACAGCTCTTCTGCACCATGTCTCCAGACAGCTTACTACAACAGCACTGTCTGCCACTGATTTTGTAGTCACATTGTCACTGTTTAATGGCAACATTCAACAAGACACTGACAATTTGAGAAGATAAATCAGTGCTTCTGACAGCGGCAGTTTGTTGAATGACACTGGTGTTACTCAGTTTTTCTGGGGTAAGGTAAATCAAGTGTAAAGGGCATGGATTCAAGTGTGTCAGCACTTTCTTACAATAAGCACTTGAGGGGGGGCCTTTTCTGCGTGTTTTTTTTTTCTTTTTTTTTCTTTTTACACAGCTTGTCCTTTGAGGGGAGTCAGTCTATGCTAGAGGAGAGATGAAAGCAGGGAGAGCATCTTAGAATAGAAGCACCCGGGTTGTCCCAGCAGTGTGACCCAGAACCACGGACACATGAGCTAAGTGCCACTGGGATAGGAGCCTGCAGAGCATCATCTGTCGCACAGCCACCTTCGAAACCCATCCCTTCTCCTGCTGTGTGGCAGAGCCCTGAGTTCAGACACCTTATCAGAAAATCTTATTACTTGTGTCCTTTTTTTAATGGTAGCAGACAGAGGTCCTTAATTCTGCATAAAGCTGTATAAGTGCTGTCTAAAGCCCACAGTTTGTGGGCCAAACTATTTCCCAAGTCCTATAAGGAATGTTACTACTGGTTCATAATCTGAAAACACTGGGAAGAGGTCCCAGCGGGGGTTTGTATTTATTAAAATGTGTCTGTCTTCTGCTCATGCCTCTGGCTGCTACAGTGTTTGAACTGCAAACTTTTGTAATGTCATTCTGGGTGTCTGCATCGCTGCGCACTGCTGCAGCTGCTGTCCCAAGCCATTTGTTGAGTTTGTAATGATGCCTTTGCTCAAATCTAGTAGTAGTGCCACAGTAGTGCAGAAGGTCAAGCCCAAATCTATAATAGTGCAGCAGAGTAAATCTTTCTAGATGGTCTTTTTTGCGCTGCAAAGCAGAAATCTGCTCTGGAGGAATTCAGCTGTCTGGATGTGATGCTAAGATCTTTGCGGTACCTTTGCGGTTATTCCACATGGCAGAGATCTTCCTAGGAAGAGCACCTGAGAATGTGATTCCAGATGTAATATTCAGATGTCAAAAGGATTTATAGAACAACAAGAACAAAAAAATAAGCCTACAGAAGGAGGCTATTTAGTTCTTGTTGCACTGAATCTAATAAACCTTTAGCCTTTTATTATATTTGGTTCTTTGTATTTGCAGTTCTGTCTGGGAGTGAATTATATTGAAGTAGTATAGTTGAGAGGAATTAGATTACCCAGAAATAAAACAGGCTGAATGCAAGAGCTAAAAGGGCAATGTGTACTTCATTGAAAACAGGAAAGAGAGAGAGTACCCACAGACAAGACATGTGAATTAAATAAAGATGTCCAAAGGGAGACCTAAAAGGTCTAGGAATAATTTTGATTTCTTTCAGCAACAGTATCCTCAAATATTTTGTCTGGATTGTTATCTAACTTAGATTATTTTAAATGATTCTTTTGAGATTGGTCTGCGTTGAGCTGCAGGGATCTCAGGAGGTGCATCATCTTTCACCGACTCCAGGCTCCCTCGGTTCCAGACAGGCGTGTAATGGATACTTCACCCACAGGGGTCAACAGAACACCTCCTGTGTCTCTGCTGTGAAAACACCTTCCATCTCTTATTTAAAACAAATAAACAAAAGCCCGCTTCTAACATAAAAGCCAAAGGATTGATGATATTCTGTGAGAAGACAGCAGAATACACCAAAGTATACTGCTGGTGCTTTTCAGTGCTAGGGAGCTGGGTGAAATTTGCCTGGATGAACTTGGAAGCAAGTCTCAGTCACTACCATGAAGGCAGAAATCAAACTACCAGCAGTCCTCATCAATATGGCCTGGAGGAGGTTGCCTTCCTCTCCCAGGTATGCACTGGCTGCTGTGGGCATCCTGGATTCACTGGCTGCGTGGGTTTAGACTGGAAGATACTGCCAAGGAACCACAGGCTCCCATCTGTGATGGCTGGTGACTGGGACTGGCACGAGTATCTTACAGAGCAGGAAGCCATCTCCAAAGTGAAGATAACCTGTATGCAGTGCTGCCAGAATAGGTCGTGGAGCTAGTTCCAGTTACCACTCAGAGGTGCCCTAAAAAGCCACTTGATGTTCTGGTGTGCACCCCATTCCCACAGCCTGGTTTTGCAGTGTGGTGCTGATTTGAAGGTCAATCACTCTGTGTTGTTCTGTGCAGTTTTATGATGGACTGGAAGTGACTGAATGTTAGCAAGTTCTCTTGGATTCTCGGGGACCCCTGGCGCTGTAAGCTCAGACAAATACTGATAAAGAGCAATGATGATGAAGCCAAGCACCATCCACCCTATGCTCCTTCATTGGATACGTAGAGCTGGCACAGGGGTCAGAAGCCTGGCCAAGCTTTTCTGCTGTAGACAACTCAGATTGTCTAACCCTATCCTGCATGCTCCTTTCTTTTCCAGCATCTCTACAAGTGGATATTGTTCCAAGCCAGGGGGAGATCAGCGTTGGAGAATCCAAATTCTTCTTATGTCAAGGTGAGTGATGGCTTATGGTGTCGGGTGTCTACATCTGGGTTTGCTGGGAAGGCTGATCGAGGTATTAAGTTGGGTAAAGCTCTGTTGTTGGGTCTAGCTGCAAGATTGTTTGCTCTTGCTTTCTTATATTTTTATGAGACTGAGTAGCAGAGGCAAGACATGCTGTTTACCGGGAACACTAAATGCACTCTCCCTTGAGAGCTGGCAACAGAAAGCAGCTCCAGCAAACAGCTTTAAAAATGGAAAAACAAAAGAAGCAGTAACTGAAATGTTGTCTCTAAGCTTGAGCAATAGCCACAATGATGGCATCTTGCATCTTTCCGCAGCCATTTGATCTTTTGAAATTAGAATTAAGCTTGGTTTTGCTGTGTACCTCTTCTTCCCAAATTTTTATTCTAACGAATTGCTAAGAGCACTAATAGGAGTGCTGGGTCACTTCAGAATCATCACCTCTGCAACTAAGGATTTTAATGCTGCTGAAAATCTGTAGTTTTGTTTTTCATCTTCTTTCTGACAAAACCCAGTGTTTGTTTAGCTTCCTGACTGCCCCAGGCTGTTCTCCTGCACCATGAGATGCAGTGCTGACATGTTCCATGTCTCCCAGAGTGGGTTCTACAATTTTATGGTGTTACCTGAATTAATATCTACGTGTCCTCTTCAAAGCAGCTAGTCTGGTTTCTAGTGGGAGGAATTGGTACGCTGGCACACCAATCATCACATCATGGAACTTGGCATAGATCAGATAGGTGATGTTGTGAGCTTGGGGTGCAGAATGCTGTCAGAAGCCCTCACCTCCTCAGGGGCATACCAGCTGGGACAAGTAACGATGTTGTCTGATCCAGGGATGCTCTAATTTGTTAATGTTGCAGTTTTGAAACTGGGAGTGTTCTCTAAGTGCTGTTTTGATGACACTTGCATGCAGAAAACTTGGGGATCAGTTAAAGCCTCCCCAATAGTAGGAGCTTGTCCCAAAGAACAAAGCAGCACAGGAATGCAGAGGTGGGAGCTGCAGGAGAGACACAGCCTGGAACCCGTTAGTAGCAATATTTATTTGCATTCAATGCAGCAGGAGGTTTAAGCTGATCAGTGCCAGAGCTGTGGCTACAGCAGTGTCACCATTTTGGTACACAAAGTAGCACAGCCAGCAAATACAAGCCTTTATTGATAACATGGTGGAGCTGAAGCAGGAAGTTGTTTTTGTGTTTTGTTTTTTTTCCCTCAAACTGCATATGTGGTGGAAGGGCCAGGACAGGGGACCCCAGGATGCATGGAAGGCCATTCTGAGCTGAAATGAAATTGTTCCCCTTTAATTATATGAAAAACAAGCAAACAACTAATACCATTTTTGCAGGACAGCAGCTGACCATTCACAGCGGTGTAAGATAATTTTCTTTGCTTGCTTCTCAGGTACGATAAGCCCTTCCTTGGTTCCGTCTTCCACATAGTGCTCCTGGTTGTCTTTAATGCCCTGTATATTTGCATGGGAACTCATTCCAATTTGCTTTTTTTTTTTGTTATTGTCCCTAGTGGCAGGGGAAGCCAAATACAAAGACATTTCCTGGTTTTCTCCTAATGGTGAGAAGCTGACGCCCAACCAACAGCGCATCTCGGTGGTGCGAAATGACGACTTCTCCTCCACCCTCACCATCTACAATGCCAACATTGATGATGCTGGCATTTATAAATGTGTTGTCAGCAGCGTGGAGGAGGGAGACTCCGAGGCCACCGTCAATGTCAAAATTTTCCGTAAGAGAGCAATTCTGAGGCTGTTTTCTGGTCTGTTTTGCACATGTGTGAGGTGTGATTGGGGAGGGGGAAACACCTTACCTTCCTAAAAAAGGCTATTGCTAAAGGGGAGAAAGGAGAGTGTTAAGATTCTTCTTGGTTTTGAGGGGAAAACGGATATTGAGACCTTTGCTTGTCAAGTGTTTAACAGCTTGTCTGCTGCTTAAATTACTCTGAAAGACAAGAGAGCAGAAGGAAAAGATTCTGGTGCAGCATAAATGTCCAGGAGGAACAAGCAGACAGAGCAGCTTCTGTGGATGACAAACATGCTGTGAGATAAGACTAATGTTAGTAAAGTGCTTCACACGTTTAGAAGGCTTATAATTAGCTCTTGGCATGTTGTCCAACAGAGCCAAGATAGCAGCTCTTCCACTTCCTGCTGGGGAGCTGGACAGCAGCTTCTAAGTTGACATTTTCTTTTCACCTTGTGGGCAAATCTATGAGCTAAGCAGAGCGTTGATTTGGCCCTCTGATAAGCCTGGGATGCAGGGCTGGAAAACGGAGTTCCTGGGTCGCAGTGCAGTGTATTGTGTCAGGTTATCCTGTGTATCCTCCCCTCTGGGGCAAGTAGGTTTCTAGAAAATATGCCCTTTTGGTTTTCTTTTTCTTTTTCCTTTTTTTCCCCCCAAGCTTGAGCTGAAACCACAGCTTGAGGTGTGTTGAAAAAACTGAAGTGACTTTCTCCTTCCATTGCTTTCAGAAAAGCTGATGTTCAAGAACGCTCCCACTCCTCAGGAATTCAAGGAAGGGGATGATGCTGTGATTGTGTGTGATGTGGTCAGCTCGCTGCCTCCTACCATCATTTGGAAACACAAAGGAAGGGATGTTATCCTAAAAAAAGATGGTAAGGCGCAAGGTGTATTGGTGCTTGTCTGTTTAGGGGTCAAATCTCCATGTCCCATCAGGGCTCAAGATTATTTCAGGAAAACAAAATGGTTGCAGTCACAAGGGAGAAAGAATTCATTTGCATGTAACACTAGGTTTTAGGATGTGAATGTGGCTTTTCAAGGTGCTGTGATTTGGCAGAGGCAGGACTGTAATGTTCCCACAGAGATCGACGGTCATCAGGCTTTGACACTGGCTTAGGCTAGGGAATGCTGGAAGCATTTCTCAGATTAACAGAAAATGTCATCAGACAGAAAAGCTGCATGTTGTGACGCTTTATAGTAGTAGTCCTGAGGAAAAATTGCTAAATGCTCCTGGTGGGAGCTTTTCCTCTTAGTTCAAGGTGCTACAGACTGTCTTGCCCAGAGTGGCATCTCACTGGCAGGGAGGATTCCAGAGCCCCACCTCCAGCCGAGCATTAGTGCCTCGACTGTTTCTGACATCTTGTTGCAGGCACAAGGGAACTGTAGTAAGACTTGAATTTGGCCATCCTTGGGCAAGAGGGTCAAGTTTGAAATTTGTTTCCTCTCTGATACTACTGAAATGTAAATGTGTTTGTGTATTTATCTTCTCATAGCTGCGTGTATGCTAGAATATAAAGCACCAGAGCGATTTGTCTGCTATCCCTGCCTGGTTTTCTTTCTTGACAATGTCAGATCCGATTACTGCAGTATCTCCATTTTAATGTGATGTGAAGGGAAGTTTCATTACATTAAGCCTCATCTCCAACTCAGAAAGGGCAAGGAGAGGTGAAGAACCTGTTAACTGCGCTGAGCTTTCCTGAGGATCCTTGGATGAACTTTGCTTTTTTCTCTTCTAGTTCGATTTATAGTCCTGTCCAACAACTACCTGCAGATCCGGGGAATTAAGAAAACAGATGAAGGGACGTACCGCTGTGAGGGCCGGATCTTGGCTCGTGGGGAGATCAACTTCAAAGATATTCAGGTCATTGTAAATGGTGAGTAGCGCAGAGTTAGGACGAGTAAGTGGTAAAGGCCTATAGTACCTGCACTCCAAGCTGCTGATGGAAATGTTACCTTAGGTTCACACTCAGGAGTTACCAACAGCTTAATAATCTTTCTCTGCTGTGTCAAGTAAAAACATCCATGAGTGCTTTACCAGCTGTTTACAGGAAATCGTCATACCAAGAGAAAGCTTAAGCTTAATGACTTAGTGAGGTATTGGTCTGTTTGAGACTCACAAGTGTTTTTGTCCATGGTACCAAGTTTCCGTGCATCTCTCCATCCCTGCTTTTCCTTCCCTAAGCTGATTGGAGAGCTCATGCATCAAACCTGCTGGTAGAAACATGCAAGTGACAGTTCAAGGGTTTAAATCACTCATGGCATCTGTCTGTATTGTAGAAATTTACAGTGAGCCTTCCAGGGCTTTTTCTTGCTCACATCTTCTGCCTCCCCTTGCTAACTTCAGCGTGGTTTCCTTCTCTTCCAGTACCTCCTTCTGTGCGTGCCAGGCAGAGCACTATGAATGCCACTGCCAACCTCAGCCAGTCTGTCACCTTAGCGTGTGATGCTGACGGCTTTCCTGAGCCAACCATGACGTGGACAAAGTAAGATACTGAATACAGTTTGCTGGTTCTGTGTGATCGTGGATGTTTTCACTAAGGTGGTGTTTATAAACTCAGTGGTGTATATAGCTCTTACATGTAGACTACAATGTGTGTTTCTGTATAATAATACAGTTCTCGTGAACATAAAACCTCAAACAAATAGCCTTTGACTGCTTCTCCCCAACACAGCCAGTGTGCTTTGTGCCCTGCAGGGATGGAGAGCCAATAGAGCCAGAGGATGACGAAGAGAAATACAGTTTTAACTATGATGGGTCCGAGCTAATCATCAAGAAGGTAGATAAGAGTGATGAAGCAGAGTACATCTGCATCGCTGAGAACAAGGCTGGCGAGCAGGATGCCACCATTCATCTCAAAGTCTTTGGTAAGTATGGTCTTATCCTCCCTTTCCAAGCCCATTGCCTATTGGTAGCTTACTAGTAGAAGCTGGAAGTAGCCTCCTTATCCCAAATACTGCCTGATGTGGCTTACCCAACACTGCTTCTTTCCCTAGCATTGCTGTGCACCTCTGTTCCATCATGCTAGGCAAAACAATTTCTGAGCTTGTGTCTGAAACGTATGCCCACTCCATTCTGCTTCTTCACAGATAAAAATAAATAAAGTCCTGTGCATGGGAATGGTGTGAGGTTCATAGGCTTCTTGAAATATCTTCCAGGCCCAGAAGACTGAATCCAAATCCAAAAAAGCTGTAAGCTGAGATAGAAAAGGTCTTCTAGTTCTGCAAGGAGACATTGCCATCCTGGGCCTCACTCACACATCACTCTTTCTCCTTCTCCATATGGCAGTAAACTTTTGCCAGTTTAAAAGCATTTTTCCCCCATGTTACTTGTTTCAGACATTGCTGTTTACAGTCAAGCTTTGTTCTGAGCAGCCACTGAATGAATGTTGTTTTTATCCTTCTTTTCAGCAAAACCCAAAATCACATATGTGGAGAATAAAACAGCTATGGAGCTGGAGGATCAGATCACGCTGACCTGTGAGGCATCTGGGGACCCAATCCCTTCCATCACTTGGAGAACCTCAACCCGGAACATCAGCAATGAAGAGAAGGTATCAGCACTCCCCAAAACATGGTCTCACTGGCAGGGATCAGTGCAGCTCTTACCTTCCTGCCTTTGCTGATATACACTGCATGATGGCAACAGCCAAATGCACGTGGAAATCATGGTGATTCCCTGCCTCCATAGAGAACACTTGTAGTCCTGCACAGACTGTCTACTGAAGGGCCAGCTCCACAGCAGAAGTAATGCCATAGGTGTGCTTTTGTGCAAAGAGCTGTCTCAACTGACAACATGCTTTTTAATTCTTGCTTGTATTGGTCCAAGCTGAAATAATTTACAAAGCACTAGGCCCTGGCCCCTTTTCAGAGGAGTTTGCCAAGGGATGTACAGTTACAGGAGACTTGTGAATGGGGTTTCTGTCTTCTGTTTCCAAGCTGAGAGGTGGGAATGAGTACCCTGATTCCAGCGTTGCCCATGCTGTCATCATGATAATGATATCATCTGGGAGTATGGCAGCTGAAGAGGCGCGGGGTATTCTCTCCAAGATGCAGTGGACCAAAATGAACCTGTTAATTCATTCTTGCCCTTCTGTATGCTAACTCTGCATGTACTAGAAGCACAAAAACCTCACTGCCTTTGTGTTCACCTGTTCTGTGGATCACATCATTTTGTTCTTACAAGGCAAAAATAATTAGCAGTTTTTTTCTTTTGAAAAAGGTGCTGGGTTTTTTACTGGACAGAATTCCCCTTTACCAGACAAGATGAGGATGGGCTTTGTTACTCTGAATATTGCATAATGGTTGTGTAGTAAGTTGACTAGGAGGCGTAGTTTAGAGCTGAAGAAAACTTAGACCAAAGTTGGAATAAGGAATTACTGCTCATTAATAACCTTCTAGTGAAAGGATCCTTCAAGGCTGAGCTACCTTGTGAATATGAGGGGTTCTGACTCATGAAGGTAAAATCTGAAAGACATGTCAGGTCTTAGAGGTAACCACTGTCAGCCATCCACGTAGCTACCATTCTGCACTACAGCCTCCTAAACGAGCTTTTTATATTCCCTCCATGGTGTCAGCTCTTCACCATGTCAGTAATGTGTAACTTTTTTTTATCAGGGTTGCCAAAGATTTTTAGCTTTAATTTCCCCCCACCAGATAAATCTTCATGTCTTCTGGATTCAAAGGTTTGTGTAAATCTCTGCAAAGTTTAGGGAGAAATTCCCATTGCCTTTGAAAGCTGTGTGCTTGGGCTTTGACTACAGTATGATTGGCGGACCTGTTTTTCTACGGTAAGGATATTCGTGGTCTTGTCTCAGTCTAGGAGTGTAATGGGAGGAGTTAAATGCTCCAGCACTTCTAGCACTAGAATTTGGAATCCAGCCAGGGAACAGAGCTTTGACAGAGAAGAATATTAGAACCGAAATAAGACTAAATCAAGCAGAAGTCTGTAGGAGAGCCTGTTTACAGAGAGTCCTGTCTGTCCAGCCCAATTAAACTAATGAGATCTCAGTGGCAAAACTGCTAAGCATTTTTGAGACTCTCACATATCCTCTTCAGTACAGTGATGGATATTAAGGAATGATGTTACATATTCTGGTAGTTTCTTAGTAGAGGAGGAAAAAATCAAAGGTTTGAGGTACCATCATGTTCATCGTGTACTGGTTCAAACCTTTGCAACAAAGGTGTGCTATCATATGCCATTAACTTTGGAGGCAGGATTTTCTTCTCTCTCTCTCTCTCTGTCTCTCTCTCTTTGCTTTTTCTCATTCTCAATCTCATGTTGCAAGTTCAAGTGAATGGTACAGACCTCCAGAAAATCCCCAGGTCAGAATAGCTCTGATGACATACTATGATGTGTACCTTCAGTTTAAAATCCACTTACTGTCTCTGGGACAGCACAGGTAAATGGATGGTGTGGAAGAGACAGAACAGTTTCTAAAAATACTGAGCCCTAATTCTGAACATGCATTAGAAACTCGGATGCATCTGTCTTGCTACAGGTTGTTTACTCCTGTAACCATACGCCAGTCCTTATTTTTCAAGGTGTACAGGTGCCTTAACTCCCAGGAGGTAGGTATTTCTTGGTACTTTAAGAGGAGGGGAAAAAAAAGTGGTTCACTTTGGTTGCTAATGTAGAAACATGTTATTTAGGAAAAACTTGTTTTCTTTTGGTCTGAAATTCCTCTCCATCTGCTGCAGAATGTAGCTAGAGCTAACAGCCCTAGGAAGTCCTTACCATAATTATTTGCAATGGTTTGGCTTTGTCTTTCCTCAAGTATTTATTGCTGTGCCTATGTGGGGAGGAGAATTTTTTTGTTATTACCCCTTGTAATGCTGATTTAGGCCAGTATGCTGTATTCCTCATCACCTTCACTAAACATTATTCCCTTTAATAGAGACACATTTCTTCTACCTCTCTTGCAGAATATCAACTCCACTTCAGTGTCTATGTAGTTTTAATCTATTGTATATTGGTGTGTGCGGGCTTTATGATTTCATTGCAGACACAGTTATACTTCCTGTCAGATTTTTGGATGAAGCAATAACTGGCTACTCTCACATGAACTTCCTTGAAACAGTTGCTGAGACAGTCTTGGGTTTCTTGCCCAGCAGCGTAGCTCAGTGTGTGAGGAAAGGGCTGGGGAACAGGTAATGCTTTTCTGCAGGTCTTCTAACATCTTGCCATTGCAGGCAGCAGGTATATGTTCAGTGATGCAGAGACAATGTCAGATCCCCGGAACTCCCTTGTAATCGAAGATGCTCCTATTTAACTCCTTGCTCCCTAGTTGAAGGGAAGATGCTGGTGTGCATATGAGGGTCTTGGTTCTCCCCCTGGGGAATGTGCCTCCTACAGACGTGAGGTTGTGTATCTCTTGCTCTCAGTGAGGAAGAGCTAAGCTGAAGCTCTCCAGGATGGAGGTGGTGGTTCTGCTGTTCCCCCACGCCCGCCAGCCCCAGTACAAAGAAGCAGCAAGCTCAGGGACTGTGGGAACAGGCTTTTTCCCTCCCTCTTCCTCTAGGTTGGCAGGTGGTGAACACCACTGGATAAAGGCACATCTGATTTTCCATCCCTCTGTGCTGCTGCTATAGAAACTCATTGGAGAGGATTGAAACGGGTGATACGAATGAGGCAGTCCCCTGGCTAGCTCAGGTAGAGAGAAGAACTTGTACATGAAAAAGGGATTATGCTGAATTCTGATGATGCTTGCCTGCTCAGTTTTCAGGAACTTGTGCACAAGAGATCTAGATCTATAGACATGATGAGGTTATGGGAGTGCAGGGCAGGCCATGCGTGTGCTGGTGAGCTTTTTCTTCAAGGTGGGTCCACCTCAGGCCTCAAGTTAGAAGTAAATAGCCTGCTTTTATCTAAGATGGTATAAAATGAGGCTGTCTGTACCATTTGTTAATACTTCGGTCTCGTATTTTTCACTGGAAGCACTGTGGAAACAATACTGTGCTTTTTATTCTCATTTCTTTAACTTTCATCTCCATTTCTGTAATGTCACTTTTGTGTATGCTGTTGTATCCACAAGCAAGCAATGCTTGTGCCCCACATTGAAAAATGCTATCATAGCTGTGATATTAGCAGGTGATTTTTGCCTCCTAAATTTGAAATGGATTGAATTGAGATGGAAATAGACACCAGAAGAAAAACACGTGAAATTCATAGGGGGAAAAAGGGAACTCAGCAACTTTGGTCTTTGCAAACCAGAGTGAATATGGTCCACGCTGTTGCTGTCTCTCTCTGAATGGGAAATGTATGTTTATCAGTACGGTTTGTGCATGTTCCACTGATGCCTGTAGTTTGGTTGTCCCGAGCCCAGTAAGGATTGGGTGTGCACATCCCTAACCCTAATGAGCTGGACGTGGTCAGCTGGAGGTCCGTGGTTCTGCCCTGTTGTGTCCTGTGCAGGGGTCAGAGTGTTTCAAGCTCTACAGCTTGAGGACCTCCTACTCCTGGCACAGTTTGCATGTAAAAACCTGTACAAATGCATGATCAGTTCAATGCTGTGAGCATTAATAATAATTAGCATGCCTGGGTGGCCAACAAACTGGTGGAGAACTTTGCAATTAAGTGACTTAGGTCATCAGAATCATTTACCTTGGGTGCTGGGGGCCTGTTTGTAGAACTGGTGGGATCTGACAGAGGAAATAGTCATCCAATTTAAGAACAGAAGCAGAGTCTTTAGGTATGACTAGCCCTTGTTTAGTCACTTGAAGATCAGTTTTTAGGATATTATATTCTGAACGCAAATGAAAATTGAGGTTGGGAAATGGAAATTGCGATCACCCCCGGCACGAGATACACAACTTGGAGCCTGCATGTACAAAGAAAGTAGTGTGGTGCATACACTATGATACCTAAAAGCAACCTTTGATAAACTTTTATTGCCTTTTTTTTTCCTGTTGTTGTTGTGTTCTATATCTGTTCTCTCCAGGCTTCGTGGACCCGGCCCGAGAAGCAAGAGGTATAAGATTACCAGAGCTTTAGCAAACTTCTTAGGTTTTCTGTTGTTGTTCTTTAAGTATTACAGATTAACAAATCTCTAGTCCAGCAACCACGCCAACTAAACCAGCATTAATATTATGAATAAATTAAATATTAATACATAAAAGAAACAGCTAATAGTTAGACGTTGCTTGGCATGTAGTGATGTGCTTCTGAATGAGCAAACTAGCTGTGTTGGGAGTGAGTAATCCTGGTTGACACTTCAAAAAAAATGGGGGGGGAAGGTAGGGAAGACCAATGCGATACCTGACAAATACTGCTTTCATGATTTCCTTGTATGCTACAAGCGTGGATCATGTTTCCTTTCTGGAGTTTCAAGAATTAGCCCCAGCATGCATTCTGGAATGGTATTTTTTTTTTCTAAGCATAGCCTGTGGCTCCAGCCAACTCATCTGTTTGCTCATGGCACTTCTTGAGTTTTGACCTTCTTTTAAAGGACAGCTGCATCATATTCCATTTCAAAATCAATGCAGTTAAATCTTTCACAAGTTACATTAAAAAAAAAAAAATGCTCCCAATTCACAAATTAATGTTATTTGACTTGAATTTGCAAGGGTCAGTGACAGGGTGCAGGATAACACAGTGAGTGTTTGATGCAAGTCTGGTTTGTTTTGTTTCACACTCAGTGCTATATTTTAAACATAATAACGATCGTTATACATCTATATGTGTATTCTATACACATTAATACACCATTATGTTCACCTGATCTGTAGAAATACTTGCTTCAAAATGGACCAGAAACCATTTCCAAGCAAATAAATAGAGGTCAGGTGGAGAACCAAATGAGCTACCAGGACCAGATAACTCCAATCTGTATGTTTAGAATCAGCTTTGTGGAGGCTCTGACTATCTTGACTTCTTTTTTGTTTGTTTTTTAAGCTGTCTCAAGGGTGATGTGGCCTAAACAACGTGAAATGGAAGCTCTAACTGAAGCCCCACCAGTCTTTCTCTTACCTGGGGCTGAGAACATACTGTCCGTTCTTACTTTGAAATAATCTCTTGAAACAGATGAATTGTACACAGTGAAAGCATCAGAGATTCAGATTAGATTGTGTTCAAGAATTTGGAATTTGAGTAGTTGCATCTCAAGTTAATTCCTTCTTCCTGTTAATTCCTGTTACAATTGTCTATCCCTTCCCCCCTCGGTGTATTCAGTGTACTCTCTGTCTCAAGCTTTTTATTAATGTGAACACAAAGACTATTAAGCTTGCTGTCTCTGAATTCCTTATTTTCTCTGTTTTAAAGTATCTGACTTGTCAGTGAGAACTTCTTGAAGCATATTGCAGCTTGTGTAGACTTATCTTGACAATAAGTGGCTAATACAAAAACTCAGTTACAAGCAAAATTGCACCTCTGTTGCATCACAGGCTGGTAACTAGGAGTTAGCCCAACTTTACAGATGGGAGGAGGATCAAGCACGGAGCTAGGAGCACTCATCTTCCTTCACTGGAGTTAGTGCTGTGGTCAGGATTTTCAGGTGCTGCTTTATAATGACATCTTGTGGGTGGAAAATGGGTGAGGAGACTGTTTGAAGCTGTCGTGGACGCTTGATGAAAGGACTAAAAAATCCTTCAGTTGAAGGGAAAGGTGGTAAATGGATTTCCCTCCTGTCTTAATGCTAGGGTGTTAAAATCTCTACCAGCTGTTTACAGAGTGACTGTATGCCATGGGGTTGTCAGAGTTTGGAGAAAAACACCTGTGTGCATCTCAGGATAAGCTGTAGCAGTCAGCAGCGTGGAGCACCATGATGCCCTTTTCTGTAGAGTTGGCTGTTGGTATGGCGTGAGTTCTTCCTTGTCTCTCTTAGGGGGTTTCACCACTGCTAGGACACTGTGGGGTGCAAAATAACTGAGCCAGGGAGGCTAGGTAAAGGGCTTACAGCTGTCCACATCTCTGCCTCAGAAGTTTCTACCTATCCTGTGCCTCTTAATAGCCAGGAATTGTTAGCACCTGCTGGGCTGAAATATCAATTAAGAAAACTGATGGTGTGGTTTTTTGTGTTGTTTTTTTTTTTTGTGTGTGTGGATATTGTTCTCTTGAATATTTTTCCTCATCTTTCTTTCTCTTTACATGTGCCTTTTATAAGAAATAGAGCTTCATCTTCAGGATTGGTTGTATTATTGCTAAAGGTTTTGTTTTATCTTAACTGCCTGGCACTGTTTTGTTCGTATGGCATCTTGGCACTGGGGAGAAAGGAGGTGACACGATATACACTTCAGTTGTGTAAGATACCACAGTGGAGCAATGTCACGTTAAGGGACCCTTGGCTGTTTCCAAGAAACAGTGCACACCAAGTGGTGTGTTCATGGAATACACAACTGGTTCCAGCAACACAAGGGACCAAGTGCAGGAGAGGCAGGAGAGTTTGTGGCATTGGTCTGCAGCAGCAGGTACAGCAGTGAGGGCATCTAACTTGTTCACCTGTACTGATGTCATTTTGGAAACAAGATGAGAAGTTTGTCCTTTAAAGCTTCCAAGCTGATCACAAGCAGCCAGAGCTTGCACAAACACCGGTGTGGAGAAAGGAGTCCAGAGCCACTTGTGCTAGTGCATTAAGAGAGCACTTGGGCTTGGTCCCAGGCCAAAGAGGCTGCAATCCAATTTCAAGGGGGGGGGGGGAAATGATATATGGGTTGGGACCCCTGGGTGGTTGCAGTCCCTTGAAACGGATGGTAGCCTGGATTTTACATTCCTTGTTTTTCTGTCATTGATGGCCCTACACTGCCTGTGGGAGCAGTTTCTGAACTGACATGTAACCAGTGGAGTTTGCTTTAGAGTTTTCTTGAAGCATCAGAACACCTTGAAGCAGGTTGTGTTTAGAGGGGTCATGTAGTTTTCTTGCCCTGCTCGCTGTTCAGTGCCACATTCGTGTGAAAACTCTGAGCTTTTATCCTGCCTGCTTTAGCTCTGAGAGCTGGGTCTGTGTTCTCAGCAGTGCCATTTCAAGGATGTTGAAACAAAGCAAGTAGCAGTGAGAGAAGAGTATGTCTTGAGTTCTCTCAGAGTGAAAACACAGAACAAGTTGGGGAGGGTTTCTGCAAGAGCATGCTAGCAAAAATGTTTTAACCAGAGCTGGATCTCTACAGTTGTTATTCTGAGAAGCAGATTGATGTTATCCAGCTGTCCTCAGACACATGGTAGCATCTGGTACTTCGGTCTTTCATTTAATTTTTTTTTCCCATTACCTGAGTCCTTCTAAGCCCTCACTGCACTTGGTCCTGTGCAGCAAGGCTGAGTGGCTTTTGGAAATGCTGCTCCATGCTCGTGATTTCACCTGCCAGGTGATCACTTCTGAAATACTGAGCACTGGAAGGCTGGCGCAAGGTAGACTTTCATTTCTGCTTTTCCCTGTAGTCTGCGCTGCAGGCTTAGAGCTGAGCCTCTGACTCTTTCTTCCTTTTCTGCCAGACCCTGGATGGGCGCATCGTAGTGCGGAGCCATGCTCGGGTGTCATCCCTGACTCTGAAAGAAATTCAGTACACAGATGCCGGAGAGTATGTATGCACAGCCAGCAACACCATCGGGCAGGACTCCCAAGCCATGTACCTCGAAGTGCAGTGTAAGAAGGGAGAGGGGTGGTTCATGTATTTAGATGGTGGGGAGGGAGCTGCCTCTGATTTCCTCGTCTTCTGACGAGACAAAGGCACGTACAACTAGGGAAATGGATATTATCTAGGTAGAGGGCATGAGAAGCAGCTCAGTCTGAAATAATGTTCCTGTTGGAGTCACATTTTGCAGTGTACTCACACACAAATGGTTGCACTGGTTAACTCCGGCTGAAATGCTGATTGCACCCCAGGAAGACTATGGGCCATGAATCTGCCACAGCCTCGTTCATGGGATATGTCAGTATTGCACTTCCTCGGATGCATAGCATGCTCTCCGTTTATTCTCCCACACTGTGTTAGGAACAGCCTTTGGGACTGAGTGGATTTCTTCCTTATGTCCTTCAGCAAAAGACCAGCACCACCACCAACCATGGGATAAGAAGGCTGTCCTCTTCCTACATTAGTTTCCCTTTCCCACATCAGACTGGGCCCCAGACAAGGAATATTTACAGTCAATTTGACTGGGCTACTTCCAGAGTTTTTCTGGCTCATATTGCCTTCACGAATATGTTTCTTTCAGATGCCCCAAAGCTTCAGGGCCCTGTGGCTGTCTACACCTGGGAAGGGAATCAAGTGAATATCACTTGCGAGGTATTTGCTTACCCCAGTGCTGTCATCTCCTGGTTCCGGGATGGACAGCTGCTTCCCAGCTCCAACTACAGCAACATCAAGATCTACAACACTCCATCAGCAAGCTACCTGGAGGTGAGGATAAGCTTGGAGGGGAGAAGGGATGTGCAGCCAGGAAGGCTCGGTGCTATCAAGCAATTTGTTTCTGATGTTGATGAAGTTCAGTCTTTGATCAGGACACCCTGTTAGTGGGCAGGAAGTTGTGTGGTGTTTCTGACAAAGAAATGCAAAGGGCATCGTGTAATGGGAAACACCACTCCCTCCTTGCTTTCAATTTTCTGCTCACTCTAGTTCAACCCTTTGTGGACAGCCCTCAGTGTGTCAGCACATGTACTATATTGTTACTTCTTCCCCCAGCAAAATGCAAATGTAAATGGCAGAGTGAAATGTGTTTTCTGATCCGAGCATGCACCTTCATTCCTTCTACAGGTGACACCAGACTCTGAGAATGACTTTGGAAACTACAACTGCACTGCTGTGAACCGCATTGGCCAGGAGTCCTCAGAGTTCATTCTTGTGCAGGCGGGTGAGCATCCCAGACAGGGAGATACGGAAAGGCAAAGGCAGCCTTTGAGCTGGGGTGACAGAGTGACTTTTTTTTTTCTAGTTTGGATTAACAGGACAGCCAGCTTCCACTTCGAAAGAGATTGTTCGTAGGTTTTTGAGTTGGGATGGGTTATAGATGACAAGATCTTTGCCATCTGTTGCTTTGTTTTTGAAGGGTCTCATTCTTTTCAGTGTTTTCAGTACATTTTGACAGAACTATGATCTTTGATTTCTGATAGACATTGTCACAAGTGCACGTGCATGTGAGTGTGCATCTCAAATGTGCCTAGTAATATAGGTAATGCAAGACAGAAACCACTAAGTACCAAATGAAAAGCCCACTGTCTGACTGCACAGCAGACCTGAAGGGCCTCTGGTGTCCCTAAATCATCAACTCTGTGGGGTGCCTTAGAGACAGCTGCAGGAGTGGTCACACTGTGTATTGGAATGCTCTGTGGAAGAGACTGTAGGGATAGAACCACATCCAGGATGCTCTTGTTGCTCCGTTCAGGCTGTCCTTTTTTCTTAGAGAAAATATGTGATTTTAGAGAATGTATTTTGAAGCTCTGACATCTTAGAGGAGGCACAAGAATAAAGGTCTCTACACTAATTAGCATTCTTAAAAGCCCTTTAGAGGACCCTCAGGCCTGCCCTTCTCTCCTTTATGAAGCCATGACAAGGGTGTTCTTGGTATTTCAAGTTTTCTGCTTACTCTGCCACTGGAGCTGGGGACCCTTTCTTCCCGCTGTCTTATGTATCACTGGTTGTTTCCCCTTCCTCCCCCAGATACTCCGTCCTCTCCTTCTATTGACAGAGTGGAACCATACTCTAGTACTGCCCGGGTGGAGTTTGATGAACCTGAAGCTACTGGTGGGGTGCCCATCCTCAAGTACAAGGCAGAGTGGAGAGCACTGGGCGAGGGAGAATGGCATTCGAGGCTGTATGATGCAAAAGAAGGTAGGATGATAAAACAAGTTACCTCCTCCATCTGCATCTCATGACTGTGAGCTTGGACCCAGAAGGAGGCTTTGTTTCGTGGCATAAACATAGCATGAGTACAGTAGGAACATGGCATTTCTTGTTGCCTCAGGCCTGAGCCTTTCTTTGCTTATCCTCTTTTGTTTCTGTAACAGCAAATATGGAGGGCACGATCACTATCAGTGGCCTGAAGCCTGAGACAACCTACTCTGTGAGACTGTCTGCAGTGAACGGCAAGGGTGTGGGTGAGATCAGCCTGCCATCGGACTTCAAGACGCAGCCAGTTCGTAAGTAAAACTGAGACCTCCCTCTGCTTCTCTGGTTCTCCTTCCTTGCATCTTTCCAGGGAATCTCTGTCATGCATGGACAACACCCTCTTCTCTTGCAGACCTTGCTGCACCCGTTGTTTTTGTGGTACTTTTTGATTGTAATGAGTTCTTTCACTAATTAAAGATCTTCATTGAAGGTGGGAGGCAAAGAAGCTATTCACACTAGTCTGTGCCTTGGGTTACTAGTATAAACTGCATACTGTCAAAGAAAAGGGGTTATGCAATGGAGAGTTCAACGATGTTTTAAGAAGAACAAGCAGTGGGTTGAGAAGTGCATGCTCTTAAAGAATGTAATGTTTCTTCATTGTAGCAAGACAAGGTTTTTTTTTGCAAATTAGAAATTAATAAGTTCAGCAAAGGATTAGCCATGAACTGTGGTGCGATGAAGGAGGATTTCTCTCTTCTGCAAATTACTGCTTTAAGACCTCCATGCAGCATGTGAGCAATTACCACAGCCTCTCTTCTGCATTACTTGGGCAATCTTCCACTCTGATGGCAGGATGCTCTTCTGTGGCAGAGTGTAGAGTGGGTAGGGGACATGTGACAAAAGCAGGAAGGGAAAAGGTCATCTTTTATCCTTGTCCACAGCCTTATCCAAATATTAGGATCTGCAATCAATCCCTCGCACCTCCTGGGATTTTTTTCCCTGCTCTCCTTGCGTTTAGATCTGGAGCCTGTTCTTCTTCCCCCCATCACACACATACCTGTGTACCTATTTCATAGCTCTTCTGAAACCTCTGTCCAGGACTGTCTTCTGAACTCAGAGCTGGCATTATTCCTATCCCATGTATGTGCATGCTGGGAGGCCCCAAGATCTGTGCATGGTCTTGATTTGCTCTGCCAACTTCAGCCTCACCAGAGCTGCTGAGCATAACGGAACAGTGTGCGTTTTGCTGCTTAGAAATCCAGGCCCTGTGCAGTCAGCCAGCCCTCCCAATAAATACCCAGTTGGTTGCAATAACTCCTGTTGCCTACCCCACTCCCTAGGGTTGGATTTGGGACAGCTGATGGTGTTTTGAATTTCCAGCTCCATTTTCATTGTCTCCTTTTCTCACCTCTTCTACGTTTTTTTTTTCTATCTGTCTTCTTTTTGTTTGTGTTCCATCCATGGAAAAACTGCAGGTATCCCTCACTCACGTAAGTGCCTCTCTGCATTTGTTTCACTTTTTCTGTTCCTAACATACATAGCACTAGCTTTTAATCTAGTGCCTTTTTCCTTCTAGGGTCGTTAGAAATGAAGTATCTGGTACTGTCTGTTTCCTAACAAAACTGACACTAGAGTAGTCGTCCTGTTCTGGTTGATACTTGTCGTTTATAGAACAGAACTATGGGCTTAACATCTTAGTCTTTATTGTACAGCATGTGATTCAAATATTTAACTTAAAGTGCTTGCCTAATAATAAAGATTAGCTCGTTGATGAGAGTGGAGTAGTAGAAGGCTTCATGCTTAGGAATTGATCAAAATTTGTAAAAATTAAGACAAAAGCTTTGGCTGGATTTCAGGTGTTTTATACCAACTAAGAGCCAATTGAAAACTTCAGAATTGTGAATATTTACAGAATTTTGAAAGAAGCAAAAAAAAAATTGAGGAAAAAAACACATCACTTTTTTTCCCTTCTTCTCCCTAGTATTCTTTACATGTAGTACTCTTTGAACAGTCTTCCTGTAATTGTGTAGATTGTATACTAAACTAATTGAATAAATGAATTGAACCCCACTTGCACTGTTTTTCCTTGAAGATTGTGTTATAAAGAGCTTGTACTTAGCAGACTACTAACAAGACAGACAGGTAGTCAAGGTGGGGAACTGAATGGACAGATGGACAGGCAAAATTGCAAATTTTAATAGCTGCAAAGGGTCAACTGGGAGACGTGGTTCTGAACTGCATGTGCAGAATGCTGCCTAAAATTGTTCAGAGCCTGTTAATTTCAGCAGAAGTAACTCAGACCTTAAATGAAGTTATTCATGGTTGGTATTATAGCCACCGGGCAAACCGTTTGGTGTAGGCCCTTCTGAATTTGAACATCATCAACGATACACAAGGGAGATAAGACCATAGGCATTTAGCCTCTGTGCAGATCAGTACCATGGGAAAAGATCCAACAGCAGAGAGGAAAAAGAGTATTTTAAAGCCTTGTTTCAGGCACGTCCACAGACCTGTCTGCCAAAGCTCATGTTCACCACTTGGGGACAGGTAGGTGCCTTTGAAGGAGAATATTAAATCAAACTTCTTGTACAGTGGTGGTTTTTTTTTCCAATTGTTTTTTGCTATTTTTTTTTTTAATGTGGCAATCAGCCATCAACTAGTCTGTAATCCCTGACTCTACACCCTTGTATGGGAAGTTCTAATTCCTTTTCCCTTCTTTGTGAAGTATAGCATTTTTTTATTTCCAAATTCAATTCTGTTGTTGCTCTTTCTAGCAACCTTCTGCCCTGCAGCTGTGTTCCACCTGAGCATTTGGTTCTCTAATTCTTCTGTGCTCTGTGAGGCTCTCAAATCCCAAACTGAGTTGCAGCAGTGGTAAAGAGATCACTGGCAAGCAAAAATTCATTTTTTCATCTGTGTTTGAATTATGGCCACACGATATTACTGGTTTATGGGCCAAGTCAAAACCAGAGAAAATAACCATTTTTTTCTACTTCAAATAGTCTAAAAACTGAGGGCATTTTGTAAAACCTGCTGAGATGTCTCTGTAGTTACCCTTTCCATCTCCCCCAAGCACATTCCCCCATAAGCACAAAGTAGTTTCTCCCTATCTTAGAGGCACATGAAGGCCCCGTGGTATGTGTTCAGTGATCTTATGGTATGAGAAAATTGCTTTAAAGCAAGAATTCAGTGTCCAAAATACAGGTTTGGCAAAGTGCCGAGTCTGGAGTTGGAGGCAGCACTTGATTTGCTTGTGCTTTGTGTCCAGAGACGTTCGATCTGACAAAAGTTTAACACTTTACCCTTCAGTTGTCCTTCTTTTGGCAGCATTGAACAGGAGTCAACTCCCCTCCTCACTTTCCTTTCTCTTCCTTTAGCAAGCACTGCTGCCCCCACCTCGCGCTTAGCAGAGAGTGAGTATGATGGAAGAGGCTGTCTTGTTGCACCTTGCTCTGCATGCAGCTCCTCACTGAGTGTGGTGTGGTCTGCCTAACAACCTTGGGTGTTTTCTTTCTTTTCCCTTTCTATATATATTTCCCCCCTGAGTAAAAACTGAGTCTCTTGGTAGAGGAGCTTCCAGGACAGAGAAAAGCCACAGACAGCTCCCAGGTGTGCTGGTGGAGGGAAAGGGATCGAGAGAAGGTTGCAGAGTGAAAGCCTGCCCACATGAAAGCTGGTACAAGTGTTGTCACTGACTTTTGATTTTAAGGTTTCTGATCAGTTTGTGTTCCATTTTGTGAAACATTTTATGAGATGTGCTCAGCTTTTGTGATGTGAGGTTGAATTGCTTGAAATCATCTTAGCCCAGCAAACACGAGTCCAGTTTCAGAGCCAAATAGAGGGGGAAGATACTCTACTGATCAGCAGTGAATGACTTGTGCTTTACGAACCCTGTTAGTAAGTCACATTCAGGAACCGTGTAAGGAAACTCATTTCTTTATATTCTGTTTTTTTTTTTTTTGTTTTTTTTTGTTTTTTTTTTTAAATCTGCATAATCAGATTTAGGCTGCAAACCACACAAAGGTCCATCCTGTTCACCCCTCATGCCAGAAGGGCTGGTGCCGTGATGGATAAGGAAAAGAAATGAACCCCAGAGATCACAATTTACCTTACTCTGCAGCTGTAGTTGTAATCTGCTCTGTCACAAAGACATGCCAACGACGATTTTTTTGTTTTTCAAGATGTTCTATAGTAGAGAAATCATCACATCTCGTGTCTCTCGTGCTCCATTCTCTCAAGGGCTTTTGGAAGTAGAGACATCCTTTTTTGTCCTTTCCCTCTAATCCTTGTATTTGGTGCTTGTACAGTCTGCCTTAGCTCCTGGAAGTGGAGTGCTTACCAACAATCCTAGGGGGCTTTCGGTCTGCCATCTTCTGTCAAAAAATGCCTGATTTCTCTTCATTTCAGTATTTCCCTTTTTTTTTTTTTTTTTTTTTTTTTGAGAAAGCAGCGGAGCAGTCATCTATCATTCTATCGTATCCTGCTTTATTTTTCCTTCTTTGCAAGAGCACTAGCTAACAAGTGAGGAAGAGAAGTTACCAATGCACAGTGGAGAGAAGATAAGCAGAATGCAGTGGCTGTGTACGAGCAGCAAAGCAGAGGGTGTTCTCCCTTAAAGCTAGCTGGGTGGATGTAGTGCTGGTCTTTGGAGAACTGAGCTCTCAGTGGCCATCCTGTGAATAGAAAGAGAAGTTCAGGGCAGTTCTCTGAGGCTGTTAGACATGGTGTTTCCTCCTTTTTTCTGCCTGTACCCTGGCCACAGCAGATGAAGGTCAGAAAGGTCTTTGTATCATGAGGGTAACTTCTCGGGAATCTTGGCTCCTTTGTCTTTTATAGCTGGGCCTGGAGAAAGCTAGCAATGAGGTGCTGTTCTGGAGGGCCTCTGGAAATCAGCAGTTAGCAGATGACAGGATGGGAACCTAGATGGCTATTTGGGTCAGAATTAGTCAGAAACACCGTAGCTACCTCTGAAATCAGATTCAGAGGGGTTGGAAAACAGCAGCGGTACAGCCCAATTTTGCAGGCTCTTCAGGTAACAAACATCTGCCGCGAGGATTCAGTCTCATTCTCTCTTCATTGGGCCTTCTTTCTTTGCTCTCTCTCACCCCTGCTCCCTGCCTTTCATAGCTTCCTTTCATGCTATGCTTCACCTTTACATGTCCTATCTATCCTTCGTGTTTCCATAGCAACTCGGCCTCTTACTGAATCTGAGAGCACAGAGCCGCCAAGTGAGTAGATGGGAACTGCTCCCCTTTGGTCCAGAGTGCTGTTTGTTATGCTGCAACCCTTCCATCGAGGGAATTAAAGTGCT